GTGGATTTGAGGGTAATTTTTTTGTTGTTTTTTAGAGTGGATTTGTAGATAATTGAGAGTGGATTTGGAAGTAAAGTTTGTGAGAATTAGTGAAGGATTTGATTGATGTGATAGATTTTAAAAATTAGTTTAATTGGTAGAAATTAAAGATTACCAAAATGCCCTTAGTTATAAAAGTAATATAAAATGTTATTTATAAATGTTATATTTAATTGTAAAAATGTTTATAAAGAAAAAAAAATTATGAATAATTTATAAAATTAATGTTTAAAAATTATAAAAATTAAATAATCAACTTATTTTTAATAAATTAGAAAATATAATATACCTAATTTTATTAAGATGTAGATTTTTTAAATTATAATATTAAAATAATTATAAAAAAAATTGAAAAATATATAACCTGTAACCGGTTACGCGTTTGCGTAACCGGTTACGCGTCTGCCACCAAAACTTCATTCTTCTGTAACCGGTTACGCCACTCTTTTGTGTTACACTTTGTAACCGGTTACACTCTGCTGTAACCGGTTATCACTTCTTCGCTGCTTCCACGTTTGGTCATCTTCATATCCGTACAGGGCATATGAGTCTTTGTGTATTAAATCAGAGCAAATCTTCTCACTTCCGCGGGTGACCAAAACTGCATCCATTCCGCAAATCCATCTTCACTTATCCTCGCTAATCCTCTCATACGAACACAGATAAATTTCAATTCCTCGTTCTATAATTCGCATGAACAGTAAATTCCGTTCATGCGAACACACCCTTATGGATCTCAAAGGATTTTGATTTCTTTCTCCAGGGCGGTTGAGTACTAACATTATATTTTTATTTTATTCTCTAAGTTTTTTTTTCTCATTTTATATATTTGTTTCTTAAAATTTATGCAACTTTTTAATTTGTCTATGCACATCCTTATCCAGCCACAATCAGTCAATTATATAATATTTTCCTTGCACTGCACTTCTTCTCCATGTCCGTTCTAAATTTTTCTCTTACATTCAACCCTTTAAATCATTCAAAAGAGGCTTTCTTCATCCAATAAAAAATTAACTGATTGAAAAGATATATTAAATATTAAATATCTTACACATTCTAAATGTAGTAAGATATATAAATATTATAAAGTGAGAGTTGAGAGTCTCGGCGTAGCCATATTTAACTGATTGAAGTTGTTATAATAAAAAGTATATTAGAGATAATTAAAAGGTCAATGTGGTTATTAATAGTAATTTGTAAAGTTGTGTGTATAAGTAAATACACTAGTCTTTTAAACTTAAAATTAGTGCAGTATTATTTAATTAGGTAGATAATTTATTTGAATTGATATTTTTGACAACGATTAAAGATTTCATAAGAGTCTTTAAATTATTGGTTTGTTTGTATAGTTGAGTGTAATGCCAAAGAAGTAACTTAACATAATGTTAGTGATAAGGTATATTGTGTCCAGATGTTTTTAGAAACATTTATATGCAAATTTATGTGATGATTGTTGAAGGGATCATTGTTTATTAATAGTGCGTGAAAATTTGACCACCACAAATGAAACTTTTCATGCATTATTAAATGAAAAGATTATTGGGTTAATGGTTTTTTTTTTCTTTCATGAATTACATAAAACATATTGTCACTTGATGTATAGACGAAAAGGTGTAGCCTTATAAAGATTGAGTAGGTCATTGTTCTTTATTATTCTTTCACTATTCTGCACTTGCTTTTTATTCTGAAGGATTCTATTAAGTTTCTAATTTTTTTTATCACCCTATTGCTGCCGAGGAGTTTTCAATAAGTAATAAGATATATAAAAAACCAAAAGTCAATGGTGGCAATTTCACCTTTGTATGATTCCTAAAGACTTTGACGCACTTTTACTGATTTTGAGTGTCAAATGCACACCATCTTAGCCAACTTCAATAGAATAAATGGACATTTCTAACATTTTTTCAAATTTTGTGTTAATCAAATGCATATCATTCCAATAGCAAAACAAATTAATGGATGATCATGAGGTTGGATGAGTTTTGACTATTATTCTTGCAATATCGAAAACACACTGTAAAAACCACGAAAAGTTCTTCTCTTCAACCTTCGATATGAAATTAGTGGATGATCATGAGGTTGGATGAGTTTTGACTATTGTTCTTGCATGATCGAAAACACGGTGTAAAGACCACAAGAAGTTCTTCTCTTTAACCTTTAATATGCTTCTAAGTCTAAGTATCGTTTCGTGCTGAGAGAGGATGTGCTTGCAAAAGACACTTTAACGCTCATGTCAAAAAGTACGTCACATAATGATATATGTTGTAATAATGAACACATAATTAATTATCTCGTGAACAATGGTATTTATATTAAGTTTATGACCCTTACCTATTTAGGCCTGAACCATATAGATAATCACCATAATTAATTTGCTTAATGATCTTGATAATATATTTTAATTCTTAACCTTCAGTAATCACAGTTGATCCTTACTGTTACATTGCAATGTTGTCGATGTGGTCTTTGATCATTATAAATGAGATTATGTCAATCAATTGTTCATGACAGTTCAAAATAATCCTAAGTATCTAGGTTGAAATCATCTTTGTTACATATAAGTTGAGATCATGTTGGCTACACATACGGTAAGATCATGTTGGCTACACATACGTCAAGATCATGTTAGCTACGAATAACATCATCGTTGATAGAATCAAATTAAAACTACTTAACTATAACAAGCATCATGTTAGTTACACATAAAACATCAATAATTTACCGCTAGATAGTTAGATGCCATGTTCTCCTGCTAATCCATGGATCTTAGGTAAAAGGTAAAAGGTAAATTAACCCATATTTTAGCTTGCATTCTCCTTATGGGTATTGGATGCACATGTTTGGGGTAGTCACATTTGGTGAAGCTAATTGTCTTAATGTTATGTCATTCTATTTGTATCAATTTCAAGTTTAGGTGAAAGATCAGAGGATATGTTTATCATTGGAGGTGATAAAGTTTTTATGGTTTAGCTTTAGATGATGATTATGCTCCCTCAATAGAACACCATATTACGTGATTTATGCAACTTTCTTTCCATCTCTGAGTCAATTTGATGGAATTCACCAGGGTTTGGCCCGAGTCATGCACTACGAGTCCACCTGAAAATTTCCTTGTTGGTTTTTTATTTCTGTTCTTGTTTTAGAGAAAGGTTTCTAGAAAGAAATAAGTTAAGATGTTATTGGGTTCACTCATAGGACAAAGACGTGTGTCATAATGGACAACTTAGATATCAAGTCTTTCTTATCCAGAGTATTCCTAAACTAGTCTCATAAATTTCTAAAAAGAAATTCTTAATAAACAAAAGCAAATACTTTTCTAGCAAATTTAAATTAACTAAAGACTACAACAAACAAACTAAATTAAATTTAAATGTATTAAACAAAAAAAATTTAAAAAAATCTAACTAAAAGATAATAAATAATAATCAAAATATAAAAAAAAAATTAATATTAACCGTATTCCCCAACAACGACTCCAAATTTGATAACATTGTTGTTAACGCGATCAAATTAACACTACTTAATTATAACAACTTTAGTATTACCGAGTTAGTAATTAACAAACTAGATAAGATTGCATATTTAACAAAGGAGTCTCAAGAAATCTAAATGGAAAAACAACCGGTTGATACAAGCCAAAATCATACAGTTGACTTACTCAAGGACTGGACTGCTCTAGGGAATATGTCATTAACAAAAGTTATATGAGATGTGCCCCATGGAGTCTCTATTAAGAGACAATTGATAAGTGTGATAATTATCTATTATTCACACTTATTAGAACTCCTTATTTTTCTTTATATCATGTGTTTTTGTGTTAAATTCTATGAAAAGATGTAAGATTTGTATATAGTCTTTATAGATAGATGTAATTTTTTGTTATTTTACAGGAAAATGGAATATTGGAGAGAAATTAAGAGTTGCTACCATAAGTCTCTCGCCTAGCCACAATCATACCTCGCCAACGAGACAATGTCACTCGTCCAAACTAAGAGAAAAAGGAAGAAGAAGTCGAAACTTATTTGCTCTATACCAGAAACTGATCGGATAGAAATGAAGATTACTCAGTCATGATTTCCCAAGCACTTCCTGATCGTCAAATAGATGATCAAGGAGTTATATTTCTTAGATAAAAGAGAGATAGGTGATTTGTGTTTTAAGTAATGAAACGAGTTTAAAAAATTATATCTATATTATTGAATTATTTTAAAACTAAAATACTCGGTCTCATTATTTTAAAACATCTATCAACTCTAATACTTAAATTTTTAGGTTCTTACAAAAATTATAAAATTATAAAATTTTGAAATTATAAAATTAGGAAATTATAAAATCATAAAATAATAAAATTACGAAATTACAAAACTATAAAATTATAAACCAATAAAACTATAAAATTGTAAAATTATAAATTTATATAATTATATAATTATAAAGTTATTTTGTATCAAAATTATAAAATTTTAAAATTATAAAATTAGAGAAAGAGAGAAAAATCATGTGACTTGTAAAAATAAAAAAGAAAAGAAAGAAAAAGAAAAAAAAAACTTGTGTATACATGACTAACATAACAATAACAATCATTATATTGGTAGGGGGATGTTAATAGACTGCCAGGTACTTCTAAAAAAGTATTCAAGTTATAGGACCGAGATTATACTGATAAAAGAAAGTTAAAACTCAATGATATACTCTAGGGTTAAATATGTTTTTAGTCCCTAAACTATTGGCCGTTTCTGGTTTTCGTCCCTCTTTCAAAGTAAGGTACGATTTGGTCCTCAATCTTTTCGAAACTTTGGTTTTAGTCCTGGAAAACTAACACCGTTAAATATGTACTGACGTGGCTAACGGTAGACTGACACACGATTTTTTTTAAGTGTTTCTCACTCTTTCTCCCCTTCTCTCTTCCTTCCATCTTCCACCCAACTTCATCCCTGGTTACATCTTTTTGAGTCTGCATATCAATGCTTTGTTGCTTTACCCATAAAGGAAAAGAGAATCATGAAAGCTGCTCCAAGTTCCACCACCCTCCGACTTGCCACTTTTGTTGTGTCAATTGTGTGAATGTTTTCTGTCAAGGTGGTCGAGCCAGTTCCCGAACCCCAAAGACCAGCCAATATACTACACAAACCCTCCAATGCAATTCCTCGACTCACCACTCCTGGAGTTGGAGGCCTCAAATTGACTCGCAGAGATGCAGAATGATAAGTTCCAACCTGCAAAACCAACTTGTCATTCACTTACTCACAATTTTAGTTTCTGATTATGTTCTCATGGAAAATACAGGATATTACATTAGTTTTATAATCGTGGGATTCATAGTACCATTCAGCTAATATTTGTATTTACAAGCATTTAAATAATTTACTTACTGAATCCACAGAAGCAACCAGAGATACTACGGCCATGATTATGCAAGTCCTGAAATGGAAAATCGGGAAACCCCATTGCATCCTTTGTAGTTATATGCTCCCCCAGCTGTTAGAAACGACGCATATATCCATGTTAATGTAACACTCAAGGGAACCTGCAGATATTTGGAAATTTGTAAACACAATTGGTTAGGATATGTTGGTTGGTAGAAGAAACGTAACTCACTCAAGTTGAAGGGAGAGGAATCCAAAGATTTTTAACAGAAGGATACTTTTAAAAACAGTAACTTTCCAAAGAAATTAACATAACTGCTAATAAATATCAGAAAAACGAAACCAGGGATGAAGTTGGGTGGAAGATGGAAGGAAGAGAGAGAAGGGGAGAAAGAGTGAGAAACACTTAAAAAAAATCGTGTGTCAGTCTACCGTTAGCCACGTCAGTACATATTTAACGGTGTTAGTTTTCGAGGACTAAAACCAAAGTTTCGAAAAGATTGAGGACCAAATCGTACCTTACTTTGAAAGAGGGACGAAAAC